CTACACCCTCCCCCCAGGATGTGGCCTTTATGAAAGGATCTCACTTCGTGTATTTATAACCTGCTCTCTAGTTCCTACCTAAACCCCCACCAGTCACTTTCATTACTTGAGGGCATCCTTCATGGCTCTGTGCTACTGCACTGACTCCTTTGCATGTTGGTGCCATTTACCTAACTTGACTCCTACTGGGGGGCATTATGTTTGTTTTTTTGATTTTTAAAAAAAAATTCTTCCCAGGGGGAGGGTGTAGCTCAGTGGTAGAGCACATGCTTAGCAGGCACGAGGTCCTGGGTTCAATCCCCAGTACCTCCTCCAAAAATAAAAGTAAATGGATAAACCTAACTACCTCCCCTCCAAAAACCGAAACATTCTTCCCCACTAAATAGTGCTGTAGTGAACATCCTTCTAAATATACCGCTATACTGCACTCCTAATTTTTTTTTTAATCTTTAGAGTAGTCCTAGAAATAGAATTGCTGAAAGTCAAACCAGCTATTTTGGTTCATTAACCTCTTTCTTTGATCCAGCCCTTCCTTTCTTCATTTTTGTTCTTTAAAAACATCAAAAATACCAAAGTATATACATTACATTGTTCGAGCTGCCACAGCGGAGCTTCAATCTCCTGATAGTCTCACTGGCCAAAAGCAAACAAACAACTCTGGGTGAAAGGAGCGTCACAGAGGACCACAGGTTGTCGGGGTCCACTCCGGGAAACTTCCAAAATAGACAAATCCACAGCGACAGAGTAGTTAAGTAGTTGCCTAGGGCTGAGGGGAGGCGGCGGCTGGCTGCTGATGGGTCAAGGGGGCTGCTTTGTGAAGTGATGAAAATGCTCTAAAATTGTGATGAAGGTTACACAATTCTGTGACTATAGTGAAAACCATGGAACTGTACGCTTTCAGTGGGTGAACTGTATGGTCTGTGAATTATCTCTCTGTAAAGCCATTTAAGGAAAAAAATGTGGAGGAAAGTAATGTCTAAAGGCGACAGATCTCTAAATGCTGGTGTAAATAAATTAAAATTAGGGAGGAAGAGCCAAAAGAATCGGCTGAAGGGGTTAAAGTACCTCTGAGGAGCAAGCCTGGGTGGGGGAGGAATCCCCTAGGCACTGTTTCATTTATGGTCTCTTTTAGGAATGTACTTAAAAGCACTAGATAGTCCCCGAGGCGGGCGCAGTTGCGGGCAGCCCTGCAGGCGCAGCCCTCCTGACTGTGCCCTTCCCTCCCCAGATGCTGCTGTCTGAGGACCCCACAGCCTCCCAGCGCTGCAGGAGGCCCCGCCAACAGGAGGGGCAGTAGAGACCCCGGTCACACTGTCCCTGCGCCCGAGTCCAGCCCAGGGTGGTGGGCGCAGGAGGGGCCCATCCTCCAGCTCCTAAGCTGGTCCAGCCGCTCTCTCCAGCCCTCCTCAGGTCCTCGGAGACGACTCCTCCCCATCTGGGAAAGAAGAGCAGCCTCCAGGGAAATCAGGGTTCTCCCTCCTGCTTTCAGACCGGCCTCAGGGACTCGTGACCACTTAAAATGGAGTGTTTTCCGAATCCTCCCACGTCGACTTTCCCAGCCCTCAAGGGGAGGGAAGCTGCCTTAAGTCTCTAAAAACACAGCCATCTCCTAATGTAGCTAGCTCGGACATCTGGTCTTGACTGATACCCTCTCTTTCAAAGTGAGGCCCTAGGAAGCAGCCTGTCCCCAACAGGAGATCACACGAATCCTTCCTGTTACCATTATGTATGTGTAGCTGTGTTTTTTAATAAAATGTTGACTTGGCGAATTGCAGAAGGATTTGTTATTTAACTAGAAGATGGCTGAAAAACCAGAGTGAAGTTGAAGGAGCCCACGGAACCCATGGGGAAGTGGAAGTGTTCAGTGCTGTCTGCACTCGTTTGCCCTCCTGGAGATGAGAAGAATAAAGGATGCAGAAGATACTGGCCTCTCAAGATTTGGGTATTTTCAGAGTAAACTGATATTAAAGGTGGAAGCCGGCACTGTCCACACAAGACTCAAAAGCAACACATGCAGCCTTAAAAAGAGAAGTTCTAACACATGCTACCATCAGGGATGTTAAGTGAAATGACCCAGATACAAAAGGACGAGTATGAGTGCCATGAGGTACCTGGAGTGATCAGCCTGCAGAGACAGGGCAGAATGGGGGGGGTGCCAGGGTCTGGAGGGAGGGGATGGGGGGTTGGTGTTTACGAGGTAGTTTCCACTGGGGAAAATGAAGATGTTCTGGAGGTGGACAGTGGTGATGGTTGTGCAATATAAATGTAACTAATGCCACCCCACTATATACCTAAAAATTGTTAAAACGGTAAATTTTGTTACCTATATTTTGCTACACTTTAAAAAAGAAAAAAAGCAATGTAAATCCTACTGTCTAGGCCCTAAGCAGCTGAAACAGGAAGACAGAGGCCCAGTTACACCCACCCTGCAGCAGGCACAGCCCCGCAGAGGCCAGTGTGTGTTCCCACAGCGAAGCATCCTGGTGCTAGAGCACACAGGCTGCGGGAAGTGTGTCCTCTAAACCAAGGCCGTCGCTGGGGCTGTTCAACCAGGGCAGTGCCGTGTAAGCCAAACTCCCCACCACCCCAGCTCCCCGCACAGGGTGATGACCCGCCAAGCACCAGGCAGGACGAAGCTAAGATGTGAGAGGAGGAAGACTGAACCCCTGGGGGGAAGACGGGAGTCAGGGCACAGGAGAGGAGCCCGCAGCGGGTTTGCCCACCGCATCCCCCACGAGCAGGCAGCTCCTGGCCAGCAGAGCCTCGGGGAGGAGGATGGTGCTTTCCCTCGGGCAGGCCTCTGCACAGATGTTTCCTCACCACCCACAAGAAAAACTGCTGCTCTGAGAGGCTAACACAGCCTTGGTGTGGTTCTCTGCAGTGGGGTGGCAGCCAGCAGTAAGAGCACTGCCGCTTCCTCTGAAGGCCCACGAGGAAGCACATCTATCCTGAAGGACGGGCCGTGGAGCAGGGCGACCAGGGAGAAAACTGACAGCAAGTGTGGTTCTGGGGTTTGAGAGCAGGGGCCCTGGCCTGTGACGACCACCACCCCAACCAGGGCCTCTGGGCAGGCAGGACATGGCAAGAGCTGGCCTGTGCCAGCTGGTTTCCTCCACAGGCGGCTGGCCCTGGTGTCTGCAGACAGGCCCCGAGAAGGAAACAAGCGTGCTCCTGAGGGAGGCCTCTCTTCCAGCCCTCAGCCTGGACCTCCAGCCACGATGCTGAAGTGACCCAGAGCTGGCCCCCTGCCTGTCACCACCTCCCAGGCCTCTTCCCTGGCAGAAAAAGCTAACTCCTGTTGCTGTGGAAACAGCCTCCTCAGCCCCACGTCTTCCCTACCAGGGGGTGGTTTCTGAACTCTCACAGGTGCTTCAAGGGGCTCACAGATGTTGATTTTATGTGCAAAATACATTTGAACACCTAAAAATGCACACTGTTTTGTTATCAGGGGCAAAAGCTGATAGTAGAAACCCCTGGGCCAGCCTCATGCAGCCCTCAGGGAAGGCTGGCCTTGCCCCTCGGCTGGTCCAAGATGTTAGGAGAACTTTCCATGACCTGGGTGAGCCAGGCTTCTCCATCTCCCACAGCCAAGACCAACCAGCGGAATTAATGGAAGATGCAGCTACAGCCCCAAGGAGCTTCTTCCTCCAAATCGTGTGCATTTCAAATGAAACCCATTACTCTTAGAGACTGACTCAGAATAAGTAAATGTTATAAATGTAAATTAATAACTTATATTAATACCGCATTTCCTGTTTCAGATAATGGAATTTCATGTGTAATTCAGATTGAAAAAAAGGGGGATTTCACCACTTAAAAAAAAAGATTAGGTGCCCCCTGAGATGAAGGGAGCTGCCAGGCCGCCCACTGGGCACCAAACAGATGGAAAGGGTGACCTGCCCAGGATGAAGGAGGTGGGACTTCCTTAGGAAGACCTCAGTGAGCATACCTGGTGCCTCCAGACCTTGTAAGAGACTGGAGCGCCTGGTGGCCTGTTGGGGATTATTTTTTTTAAAAAACCAAACAAACCATGATTAACTCTATATAGAGTTGTGCAAAATGGGGAATGCTATGGCATTAAATGCTCCGCTTGGCTCAGTTCTGAATAGTGGTAAGAGTCTGAGTAATGGGCACGCTGATTGGTGATATGCACAAAACTAAAAAAACAAAAAGAAAAACCCTCATTCCCCAGGCAGGGGGTACACGCGGAGGGACAGTGCTCTCCCCAGAACCTTACTTGCCGTCGGTTTTCTCCCTGGTCCCCAGCTCTGTCCTTCAGGATAATGCGCTTCCTTGCAGATCCTCAGGGGAAGGGGCAGTGCTGTTACTGCTGCCCCCCGCCCCACTGTAGAGAGCGCCACACCGAGGCTGTGTCCCAGCGCCTCTCCGAGCAGCAGTCTTTCCTGCGGGTGGTGAGGAAACATCTGCTCGGTGGTGTCGCCAGAAGCCTCAAGGGACAGAGAGGAGTGGGAATCTGGATTTTTAGGCCAAACAAAAGCTGTATGGGGCTAGCTGCAGCCCTTGGGCCCTGGGTTTGCAACCCCGCTGGGCGGTGGTTCTCAGGCAGGCGCAGGAAGTCAGCTGCTTCCTCCTGATGACCCGGGCGGGGCCCTCCTTGGGGAGGCAGGCCTACAGCCCCAGCCGCGCTGCGGGGCGCCGCCACCGCTCCCTGCGGACTCGCCTTTCCTTCTGCGGAAACACGCGCCCGCAGCGCCACCTGCTGGTGGCGGCGGGGAGAGCCCCGCTGGGCCGAGTCCAGGGTTGGAGATCAGAAGCACCCCTGACACTTTTTATTTGGACCTCAGGCGCTGCAGATTAATCATAATCCTCATCTCCGTGTTGGGAAAACTGGACAACCGCATGTAAATCAATGAAGTAAGAACACTCCTTCACACCATACACAGAAATAAACTCTAAATGGCTTAAACACTAAATGTAAGACAAAACCCAATAAACCTCCTAGAAGAAAAATAGGCAAAACATTCTCTGACATAAATCTCAGCAATGTTCTCCTAGGGCCGTCTCCTCAGGCAATAGAAATAAAAG